ACTGTGTACTAAAAGTTTGTATCAAGAAAGAATAAAATGGTTTAATCAAGAAAGGACTTGTATTGCTGAAGTTCCTCGGAAAGAATTTCTACCGGAAATTAACAAATAAGCTGATACGCAACAGTATGTATGCAGAGAGTGAGTCATCAAAAGAGTGATTGCTTGAAATAAAGTTGCATCCATTTGTTTGAAGCATGTAATCTTTACAGTTAGTGTATATTTTTTGTTTATATCTCTAAATGATTAATGTTTGCATGATGTGCTTCAAGTGCAGTCTTCATTGTGTACTATCTTTGGGCCAAGCTAGATATGACATTTTTCATGATTATTTTCTGCATAAGTCAGCACATACATTCTACTATCAAATTTATAGTTGACTGTTGTTTTAAGAAATGGTGTGGATTTTTAACTGTGCACATTTAACACAGTTCAACTTGCACTGTTTTGTTTTGATCTTATAAACATGTTCATGATGAAGAGAAAACTCAGTCCTTGTCCACATATTTCTTTATCTTTCTGTATGACTAATCATTAATCAGTTCTGCAACCAACAATGTAATAATGGGAAAACTAACCACACATTGGTCGTATTTAAGGCAAGGAAAAACATAATATTAAAAATATATTCAGTGGGTATTTTATTCATAAAACATATTGTTACCATACATTTCTTCAAAATGAATAATCGTGCCAGATCCTTAATCTTGTAAAATAGTATTTAGCTCATTTTTATAGAATGGGCAATTTTCTCCTGTAACATATTTTGAAACAGTTCCGGTTATAATGTATATTATACAAATTACAACAATATAAAACACAACTGATAATATCTAAGTTTGCCTCTGAAGAAGAAACGTCACCTTTTGAAAGTGCTCAGATTATAGGGTTTTTATTCATTTTTATGGAAGAATGGGTTATACATGTAGTTTTTTTCATGTAATTACATAAAAAGTTTAGTACAAGATAAATAAAAGTAAAACAGTAAAAGTCCTTTACTTTTGCTTTTATAAACTGATATTGATACACACTGACAGACACATAATATCAGAAACAACTAAGAGTTTTGGTCTTGTTTAGCATCTGCTTGGAGGTGAATAACTACTATATCAGAATATCATTGGACCAGTCAAGTACAGGATATATGCTCACCAGTAAAACATTAGTAGAGATTTAAATACACATGTTTGTTTGTATTTAACTTAACTCAGTTAAGCTATAAATATTATTTTACACTAAACTTATGTTTTGCTTTAGTCTTGTTTTTTTGTAACTGGAATTAAGAATTTTTAGAGCTGGCAATACCCATGGCCAAAAACAACATTTATGTGTGAAGAGACAGAACGAATGAACTAATATTATCCATTAAAAGGTAATGGAAAGTGAGTATACACACGTCTGATTAATTACAAACAAAAGAAGAATATCAAATTACTTTTTGCATACGTATGGTAATTATATTATGTTTATATTTTACTTAACTAATGAAGTAGAATAATGTTTGTAACCTCAAACCTACTTCAATATGAAATAGATACTGAACGGAAACTGCATGCCAGTGAGGAACGAACATTGGAACTCTCTCGACAGAAAGCAAAACTTGAAACCCAGGTTTCAGATCTGATGCAATCATCAGGAGATAATTCAGACCACCTAAGTCAGATGAACCAGGAAATCAGAGAGAAGGAAAAGTTAGTGCAAGACTTTAGAAAAAATATTACATGTCCTAGTACATTATTGTCGATGCAAAACCTCCTTGCATCTTAAAGATATATTAATTTCAACATTATTTGGTCATTGATGATGTATTATTTAATAGAAAAAAAAAATTTTTTGTTTGTTTTTCTATAAGATTATACAAATTCTTGTAGATCTGTCAAATTTGAATATTGAGTGTCTCTTACACTATCTATTCTGTATATTTCCAAATTCTAAAATTTGACTTTCAAATTAAAACATGAGAAAAAGATGTCAAATATTTTACTTTTCAAGTATATGAAAAATTCGTTTATACATAACAAACCTGAAAATTTATTCCTCAATTGTAAAGTTAGTAATAAAAAAAAAATCAAGAAAATGAGCAATAGTTAAGTTAACCTGGATCGATAACATATTATACCTCTACAACATTTAATGGTAGTTATAGCTTCATGTACAAACTGAGAAACCACTTGTAAAAATCTCTCTTCCCTTATGATTATATATGAAAAATCCATATATTTTAGTATTTGTTGATCTCTGTAGACAAATAGAGGAGCTGCAGTCCCAACTGAGAAGCCGTACTCAGGAAATAGAGAAACTGAAAGATACTGTTACTTCTCTCCATGACCAAAACAAGCTGGAGTTTGAAAAGATTACGAATAAACACAAGGAAGAAGTCCAAGAGCTGGAAGCCAAGTTGCAAGCTCAGGTAAGAAATATGAAAACATGTAACTATTATTAAAAATATCTACTCATGTTGCATACTATCTTAAGTAACATCAATTGAATATGCTTCTAATATAAAGCAAACAAGTTATGGCTAAAGTACTTGTATATTTGTGACTGTCAAGATAAAGATACAAAAATTTTGAACTAGATAATCTGGTAAATAATATTCATGAAACTAGTGATAACTAGAAGTTAGTTTGTCAACACAAACTCATGTTTTATGTTCACCCCAAAAACATTTTTATATGGAATTTGTCTTTCTACGTCTTGTTCATTCTTCATTATACATGTATTGAGATTCCTTCCATTTTTTTATTTCAAAATGGACATGTTCATCAGCTACTAGTTTATCTGAAAAACATTTTCCAAGATATGAGCTTTAAAAATTGTCTTAAATTAAGCTACATATGATATTACCTTCATGAAATATTAAAAACGAACTTATATTGAATGTTTTATATCAGCTACAAGAGCTGCAAAAAACACAAGAAAAGATGTCCAGTCTGTACAATACATTATCTCAACAAGAACAGCTAGTCAGCGAAAATGAAACAAAAGCAGAAAAGTTTTGTAAGAAGCTTAATAAGACTGAGTCTGAGCTCACACACACTCAAGCTCAATTAAAAGAACTGCAGCTCTCTTTGGAAAGCTTGCAAGCAGAGACATCCAATTCTGCCAAGAATATGGAAGGCAAAGTTCAACAACTACAGAAAGAGTTAGAACAAGTGACACAGGAGAAAGAGAAGGTAAGTATTTTTTACTTCTAAAAGGTTACACGTTTATGCTAAGCCTTCTCTCATTAATCTAGTCACTGCCATCAAGCCCAAGTGATGATATTAAACTTACTAACTTGGTTAACAATAATTTTTTATATACTTAAATACACATGACTATCTTATTCTAGAAAGTTTCATGAAGCAAACTATATGTTATGGTTGATTAGTAGTGTTAATAATACAACTGAGAGATTTGTGTATGTGACACTTTTTGTAATGATTAGTCCAGTTAGTTTTAAATTTGAAGATTCATTTTAAACAATTGCTTATAACTGCCAAACCACTGGACCAATTTTCACCAAACCTAGTATGTATCCTTAGAGTCCTCCAGCCCTCTATGTCTTGCATTGAATGGGTACATCAACTACAGTAATACTTCTGGTAATGAAGTAGATTCATTCCATGACACCACTTCGTTGTCAGAAACTTTGTTATCAGAAGTAGATATAACATAGGAGGCATAGGGATGCATTCCAAGACTTCAGAGAAGGGGGGGTACAATAAGAAAATACTAAATACACACAAAAATAAGATTAAAATGTACTTGAAAATATGATATATAGATAAAAAAATATATATATTAAAAATACACTAAATAAGATAATAAACCAATAAAACAAGACTCACCATTGACTTCTCTTGGTCTATGTTACCACCACTTATGATTTGCATTTTCATTTCCAAAGAGATGGATTTATGCTACACATTTTGCCCAGTAAAGCCACTAGCACTAAATGGTCATTTGGATGACATAATTGGGGCAATAAAATCACTTTATCTCTGCAAATAACATGATTACATTAGCAATACAAGGAGCTTGAGCAATGGCAGGTAAGAGAGGGAAGACTCACAAAGTACACGAAGTTCTTTGCTGATGATGTAAATAACCCCCACTTGGTTGCATTTACAAGGTGCATGGAGCTTTAAATGTTTTACTCTATTGAATGCTTTACATGATTTCTGAAGATTAAAAAAAAAATTTTTTTTGCAAAATTAGGGGCAAAGGACCTCTCCATGGCAGACTGTTATAAAGAAGCTTCGTTCCCAAAGGATTTGTTAACAAAGTCATTACTGTACAATGCTCATGATTTGTGAAACACTTATCCATTCCTTTCTAGACAAAAATATTATAGATATGGTGTGGCTAAAAAGAGAAAGCTTCTGTACAAAAAAGTGTGTTTCTGACCCAAGAGACAATAAAACTATATCAGGAATAAAAAACATCACAATAAATTAGAAGAGTAAAAGATAATCTCGGGTATAACAGTTTAGGGATTAAATAGATTCCTTGCCCTGTCAACTTAGAGAACTTTCCTTTTTCTATTAAGATGCATATAACGATATTTTTGTTTTGTAAACACTTCAACTGAACATGAAATTGTTAAAGATTGCAAGCAACTTCAAGTAAATCATGGAAATTTTTCTAAGTCATAGAGAAGGCTTCTCAAAACTGTGGAAGTAAGACTTGCTCATGGATATAAACATGTATACTTACACTGTGTATAATACTTTCTAAATAATCTTAATGTGCCAATGAAAGTTGATTAGTTATCTATCCATATTTTGTTTGACGCTGACAAGTCTTTGTCAAATCTGACTCTCAGACTGGCCTAAATTGGACATGGGTAATAAATATGACACTCCTACAGAACCTGTGAATCATGATGGAAAACATACTTTGGTTTTCTAAACGTTCTTAGTAGGTGATTGTGAGTTACAGAATAAAAGAAATCAAGTAGTTTAATATGTGTAAGAAAAATATTCGTTACAAGTGGATGATTTGTAAAAAGAAGAAAACATTTTTCTGGCAACAAATAAACTGGGTTTTATGTATGTGATAACCTGTAAGTCTTAAAATAATTATGTAACTAAATAAAGAATGTGTATATATATATATATATATATATATATATACACATATAAATTATATGAACTAAGCATACTGTAATTTTTTTCTGGTTTGCTTTGGTCTTGAACTATTTTCACAAAGAACAACAAAAATTGTATAGAATGTTTTCTTCATAGAAAACCACTATGTTCATACAGGTGGTCTCATGTCTCTAGTGTTTGAAATATTTATTAGCAAGTGTAACCAACCTTTTTATTTTCTCCATTAATTTCTTACAGTGTTGATTAATAATCTATGAAACATTATTTTATGTGAAATTAAATGTAACATTCCAGGTGGTTTTATAAAAGATTTAAAGACAACACATATATCAGAATACTTGAAGAAAATTCTTTAATTTGAACTTAGTTATAAATTCACCATTAATCCATTAAACTGCATAAAATGTTATATGTCAGACATATACTGCAAAAGTTTATTTATTATATTAATGTAGAACTAATGGCCAATTAAGTAAAAAATAACTTGTGCAGGAGGATTTGTCATGACATGAACAGAACAATTTTAAGCAAAGTTTTAGACGGAGAACACCACTAGATTGAGAACTGCATTTGCCTGATCAGTTGAGAATGATAACTTAAACTGCTGGTTCAGGGTTTCATTGAGATCTGATGAAAACAAGCCCTAATAGATCAAAAACATCATCCTCAACTGAACAGGCAGATGCAGGCCATAGAAGTTTAAGGTCAAGTAAACCATTTCTTAAAAACAAAAATTTGCAGTCCAGTATACTTTGACATTTTACACAGTGTTTCATTTTATGTTCTTATTTTGATGTTGAACTCTATAAACCGAATCTTAACTATCAGTTTAGGAAGTTAAGGTGTTTTAGTTTTTTGTATTTATTTATTATTTTAGATATCTAAGCAGTACCAAACAGCAAAAGAAGCCTGTATTAAGTTGGAGAAAACTCGAGAACAACTAACAAAGGAGAAGCAGGAACACCAGGCTGCAGTTTCTGATCGAGATGTGCAAGTAGCACAGCTGAAGGCAGAAGTAGATAGGCTCCAGACAGAGTTTGCTAAGCATAGAGAGGAACTGCTACAAAAGTTGAAAGTGACTGAACAAGAATATCAAACCATGCAGGACCTTCACAATCAGTTGTAAGTCGTCATTTGATATATATATATATACACACATAAATAAATAGTTCTAATTCTATCATATAGGTTAATTGTGAATAGATGATTAAATCAGCACTATCAAACAATAATGAAATTAATACAAGTCAGAAATGTTCATAATGGGACTAAAAAGTCAAAAATTATTTTTTCATTCTCAGTCCTTGTCATTATCTTTTCACTAAGAGTTATGATAACAACAAGGACTGGTAATGGAAAAATAATTTTTGATTTTTAGTCTCATTACTGGGCTTGCTATTACTTTCAGTTTATTCATATTTGTGGTAAGACAATAATGTACTGTTATCTGTACTGATACTTAGGCCTTTAGAAAGTTTTCAAAATCAACTCCTCATCCTGTAGTCAAGTGCTATATTTAACTTACTAAGTATACTTTATGCTGTCATGATAGCCTTACTCAGACTGATCACAAAAACTATTAAAAATTACTAACATCATTCATATCATAACAGATAAATGCAGAACATAAGTAATTAATATATAAACAGTTACATTGTACATGGATAATGTAGTTTTTTACACATTAAGCTAATTAGTTGCAATGCTCATACATTATTATTATGTCGTATTTCTCCAAGAGAACTTTTTGATTTTAATTTATCATATTTTACTAAACAATATGCATTTGTGTTTATTTTGTCAGTAATTTGCAGCGAGATGCTCTGAGTGAACTACAGAATAAATTAGTTCATGTGGAAGTGGAAAGAGACCAGCTTTATCAAGAAGTCATCATGTTGCGTGGAACACAGGAAGAAAGGGATCAGGTTAGTCAAAAGGAAAGTTGAAAATGCTTCATCATTTTTCACTAGCAGAAAAAAAATACTATCTACAGTATTTTTTAAATAAGCAAATACTAATTGTACAGATTGCAATAAATCTTATAATGGTGAGACTATTGAAAAATATAATTACTGATTATTAAAAAGAAAGAAGAAGTTTAATACATACTTAGAACAGACCTACATATATATTGGAACAAGTTCAGTAATAAAATGTTGTAATAAAATAATCAGAGAAAGGTGATATAGGAAAGTTCTTGATTGCATTACAAACAAATATGTTTCAAAACCTAATCCGTCCTTAGATTGGAATAATTTCGTTTATGGTCAGTCAGGAATCAGTTATTTATACAAACAATAAATGAGTGTGGCAGAAAGATTCATGATTTGGCTTTTGCTTTCGATGTATAATAACCTAAAGATTTCACAGATTAGCATAAGTAAACTGAGTTTTGAGTTAGACTAACCTTGAGGTATTGTACAATTGAGTACTGTTTTTAAAACCCATGCTCAAACAGCTGCCTGTCAATGGAAGTACTCATATATTTCTAATCATATATATTGTTCTTTTTTATCTGTATGTTCATCGTCTGTTTTAGATAGGACTAATAGCACATGACTTGTTTTCATTGTAAGATTTATATGTCAGTAATAATACCAGAACCATCTTATAAAGTGCACAGTGTAACTTATAAGGGAAGAGCTTCAAAGAAGATTAAAATGGAAAGTTTCTTAGTTTATACCACCAGATATCAGTATGATTAGAGTGTAAAAAAATTGGCCATAATTTGATGCTAATATCAGGCCAGAATGACAGTACAGTTATTGATTAATTGTTAAAGAGTTTCTTTTTTTTGCTATGGCTAACCAGAGTAAAATTTGTCTTAGAAGAAGTAAAAACAAGCAAATAATTATATAATGATATAATTAAAAAAGAAGAAGAATCAAAGGCAACACTCAGTAGAATTGTTGTATTTATTCTGTGAAGTTTTTATTTGAAAACGTTGTAAAACTAAAGTTCTTCAAGTAAATTTCTGTTCTTTAAATGATTTTTCAGTTAGAGAACAGGAACACATCCCTTCAACAACAACTAGAAGATTTAAAACAAAGGTAAGAAATGAAGGCTAGTTCCAGTTCAACCATACTCTTGTTCTTATCTTTGAGTGTGTGTATGTAAGGTATTGTATGTTATCATATGTAACATTGATTCATAAAATGTTAATTTAGCCAAAAATATTATTACTTTTGTGCTGTTTATTTTAAATTATACTTTGTTGTCTGTATGCTGTTTTTTAAAGGTAATAGTTTGTTGTTAGTAACATATCTTCATATATATTGCTATTGTACTTGTCTTTTAAAATCATAAGAAACAATAACTTTCATAGTAGAATTTTTTTTTTCTGCACAAGTTTCTCCAGCTTGTTGGAAAGTAGTTCTGTATGGTAAATAGCATAACAAATATTTTTAAGCTGTTTGCTATGTGTGTGTAATAAATAATGTAATGAGCTAGAAGGCAACTTTGGATGTTACATTAGTAATCAAGAAATTCCAAAAATAACAAATAAGATATTTTGTATGCACATTTAAATGATATTGCAGGTTGGATTGTATCTCTACATGCTACACTGTGGAAGATCGTGAGAATAAGTACCTGTGAGATAGATAATTTAGCAGATCAAAAGGTCTTATTAATATATCTATTATATGCAACGTACACATGGTCAATGTGTGTTTGTGATCTCTTCTAAACTAGACCTACATTCAAAATATTCTTAATTAATAACAGCATTTTAGGAGTCGCCTGGAAAGTAATGGAAAGTTAATTAAACTGAAGTTTAATGAATAATTGGTTTAACCAGACTGAGATAAATCCTGTTTTAGAAACTTTAGCATGATAATAATTTTAGATATGGTACAGCAAGGAAATTAAAACAATCAAAAACTTTTAGAGGCACTTTAAATAAACTTTAAGGCTATACACACACACACACTTTCTTTGTATTGTGATTACAGTTAGTGTTAAAATTTGTTTGCAGACTCAAATTATATAGATTTAATATACATTCTTACAATATATTAGTACCTGCATTTAAAATGAATCCTAAACAGCATGTTGTTTTATGCCAAACTTTATTATTTCATTTATACAGAAAAATGATTAAAACATTATTAGCTGAATCATGCTTTCACAGCTTAGGTGTTATATCTCATAAAACTTGATATTTAGATTTTTGTTTTGTATTTTTATGTAAATGTAACTATAAGAAATGTGTTATTTGTTTTCTGGAGTTATTTATACTTTCTTATATAATTATTTTGATCTTTATTTAAATCTAACAGGAAATATCAGTATTATTTTCAACTTGAGCTTACTAGTATGAAAAGAAGGATAGCAGGTTTATTGATTGTGCTTTAATTATAAATAATTTTGGCATTGTTTGAAATAATCCTGCAGTGGATTTGATACCTAAGAAGATTTATCAAATCTATGGTGTTTGGTGATGTTAAGACCACATGCATTATCTATATCAGTACTGAAACCTAAATTTAAACATTAATTGGTTTTTAAGTGTTGTATTGAAGAAGATATACAACAGGTTTACCTTTGTTTAGTCTGAACATGTATAGCATTACACTAAGCTGCTGCTTTACATTAATATAATTATTTGGTCTCCTTTCTATTTCTTATTTATATTTTGATTTTCCTTGCAGCATAAAATAACAAGGCTTACCCTTTACCAATAATGATAATGTTTGTGTTTTTGTAGTTAAGTACAAAGCTCCACAAAGGGCTATCTGTACTCTGCCCACCATGGGTATCAAAACCTGTTTCTAGCGTTGTAATTTTGCATGAAATATAGCTTAAACAATTGCATGGCTATTCACATAAAATCCACAAACATCAAATGAAAAGTCAACAAATCATCATTCTATTGTAACATTGCATGGGGAGCTAGAATTAAAGTAGCATAACTTTTTTACATCACAAAAACAGGGTTTTCGTATACCCCCCTGCATACGTGCATGATTTTATTATCCTATTATGCTTGTCTGTCCTAACACTCACATTATGTTTACTCATTGTTGTGAAGAATTTGAATATTTGGGAAATTATTAAATTATTGTGCTCTTTATAGTTTGAAAATTTGTATTCCCATTACTATAATCATTTCGTAGTGTTTGTTCTTTCTGATTTATTGTTTTGAAAGTTTTATTGTTGTTCTTTAGAAAAAACCTTGACTCAATAGTCATATTTTATTAATTCAGTGAGTAACTTGGTATTGTTTTTAAATATTTAATTAATAAAAGGTTACTAAATTCCACTATCTTATTATATTAAATTTAATTGTACCAAAAAAACGTCTAACTTGGTAAAGATCAAATTTACTTCAGTAAATATTCTGACAGCATATAGAAAATTGTGGAAGTGATTTTTATCATACATTTGTGGTGACAGTCCACATTTATTTCAATCTCTTCTACTAACTGTAGACACTAATTACCTTATAGATTATAAAAAAAAAGTTCAGTTGTACCTAAACAAATAAAGTGATATTTTGTCTTTGTATAATGTTACGTGGGATAAACTTTTGCTGTTAGAACTTTAATTTAAAATGTTTCTATATAAATCACGCATTATGTATATCTATATATAACTATTTTTTCTCCCTTTAATGCTGATCTGTTCAACCAAACTTGGCTAATGGTAAGAAAAAATGTTGTTAATCATATATTTTTTATTAACTGGTGGTGGTTGCTTGGTTGGTTTGATTTTATTGATATTTGGTGAGTCACTTAAAATTTTGTATCTAACTGGCTTTTGTTTGAACTTCTTTTTGGGAAATAAAATTGAACGTGTTCTTTTTTCTGGTGTATTTGGTTTTCTGTCTCTTTCATTTATGTTTTTTTCTAAACTTACTGACACTGTGGGTAAGTGGATGCTGAAACCAAATCTACTGACTATTTTCTTTTGAGGTTTCTATTAATTACCACTTATTTTTTGCAACCTTTGTTCTAGAAAAAAAAGTTTCATGAAAGGTCATTATAGAATTACATGTATACACTATAATTTTTCTCTCTTTTTATGTTTTGTCAACTTTAATTTAAAATGCAATGTATATTTTTCCAATACGTGACTTAAAAAAAGTGTGAGGTTTTCAAAACATGCTCCAGAAGACCACTATGGAACTATACACTATATATTTTGTTGCTAACTTAGGTTTTTAAAATACAGTATTTTGGTTATTTTATCTTTCATCTTGAGTTGACTTCATCTTTAAAAATATATTTTCATATCTCTTGCAAGAAAACTTAAATTATATTCATTAACAAAATCATTAACAGTATAAATAATGGTGCTTTTTTATCTTAATTAAACGAGCTTAACACCTCATGCTAAAACTGCTTTTTTTATTAAATATAACAAGTAACTTGTATAATACATTTTTTCTTTTAACATGTAATAAAGACATTATCTCCACATCTTCTTATAAACTTGTGTTCATATAATTGTATATACACTTGTAAATTGGTTTGCACTCTAACTGCTCATAACAAGATCATAATGAAATATGTGTGTCATAAAACTTCATAGCATTGGTATAGAATTACATGAACTGGACTATCATCAATCTGGTTAAAACATTATCTAAATTTAGACATATAGTACTTTAGTAAATTCATTCCAATGTTAAAAACCCTTTGCATTCTTTATTTAAAGTGGTTATAGTGCAAATGTTTCAAAATATAATATGGGATATAATATAATTAAACATAACATTAAAATCATTGAATAATCACTAACACCTTATCTTATGTTAGGTAGGGCAATATTCTTGAAAATATCATGTTAATACTTTAATAAAACATGACCATGGTGGCAAAATCCTAACAATTAATATTATCTTGACTGGTGTCTTGCAGTGTTGAAGTGTGCTTGATATATTGTATCAAAATGAGTAGTATTCTAACAAAATGTAACCTGTCGTGATAACGGTCAGCTGTGTTGTGACTAACATCTGACAATATTGAAGTACACTTGGTATAATATCTTGTTAAAATATGCTGTGTTCTAAATAGATTTAACCTGTAGTACTTCAATAGTGTCCTGAATAACATGTAGTACAGAACTTTGTTTAGTATATCTTGTCAAAATAAGTGGTGTTGTAAATAAATCTAATCTGTAGTACTTCAGTAGTGTCCTGAATAACATGTAGTACAGAACTTTGTTTAGTATATCTTGTCAAAATAAGTAGTGTTATAAATAAATCTAATCTATAGTACTTCAGTAGTGTCCTGAATAACATGTAGTACAGAATTTTGTTTAGTATATCTTGTCAAAATAAGTAGTGTTATAAATAAATCTAATCTGTAGTACTTCAATAGTGTCCTGAATAACACGTAGCACTAAAGTACCCTTGGTATATCTTGTCAAAATATGTAGTGTTATAAATAAAAGTAAGTGAAAGTGAATCATGAGAGTTAGCTGTGTATAACTAATAGTCAGCTTATACACACACACTTATATATATATATATATATATATGAGCTATAGTATATTAGGACTAACCTTATTAATAATCTTTATTCTGTTGCTCTCACCCTAATCAAGTGATAGAAATATATTACTTGAGAACTAAAAATTACTTATGGTCAAGAGAATAGTAGCCTTTCTTGCAAAACTTGTATGGTTGTTTTTTTATAATACACCACAAGTCTTTTTTTTTTTATCTTTTCTAAAGGAAATTTTACATACACATCCAACAATTTTGTTTCTTACCTCGTAAGGGATAATTGAAAAAAATACACAAATAATACTCCTACAAAAAAGTTTTCTTCTGAAAATACTTATAACTTGACCCACAATTTTTTTATCAGCATCAAAATGTAATGAACTAAATGAATTAACCAAGAAATTATAAGTTATGTGGTATTATATTAGTTTTTAACTCTTCTTTTGAGGTTAACATAAGATAAATGATATTTCCTCTAACTTCCCCTAAAAATAATTTTATTTTTGTAACTTTTTTTTTAATTACGTGAGATAAGCAGTTGAAGTTTACACTACAAATCTCTGGAAACTTGAAAATTGTCTAATACAGTCAGAAACT